AATAAAGAAAAATTGAGAGTAAGAGAGAGAGTGCATATTGTAGTCATAAGGAAAAAAAATATGCCAACTGAAAACGTTAGGGACTAAAGTGTATGTGAAAGCTCATATATTTTCCTTCATTTAGAACCATATATCATGTAGCATATATCATATCGCTATTGTTATATTTTAGGTAATAGACAGCATATATAATTTGAAGTTCAAGCAATTATTGCTGTGTAATATATTGCAAAAGGCATAACTTTCTCTCTCTCTCTCTCTAGATTTCTTGGAGTAGACAAGTGGCATCTATTTGCCACCTATTTTGGGCCCCCACACCATGTCATCCTGTCTTGTTATTGGTTGGCCTTAATATACTTAAAACAAATTGTTAGTAGAGTTGCATTTGCTTGTGCATTTGGGTGGTGCAAGATAGGTTTCCTAGTCCCAAACCCATAATAGAATTTGATAGGAAGAAATCTCTCTCTCTTCTTCTCCTTCTTCTTTTTTTTTTTTTTTTTTAACTATGAAATTTCATTAAAAAAAACAAAGAGTACATAAAATAATATATATTAAAAAATATATATTTAACTAACGACAGTGACAACCAACGATGGTATGGTTGGTAGACACCCTCTTTTGCAAGTGAATCTGCGTTTATATTGACCCCAAGAAAATAATCTCTCTCTAGTATCCTCGACCAATTAGGACTGCAAACCCATCGGGTAAGATTAGGGTCGACTCTAGCTCGGGCCGGTCAAAGGTAAAACTCAAACCCAAACTATTGAAACTCGACGAGCCCGATTGGGTAGAAATAGGTCAAATAGAAGAGCGTAAGATGTAATTAGATTGTAAGAAAACATAATACAGACGTATGAAGAAGTTGGTGTTGGATTTGGTGCTATCCCAAATAAATCACATATATAGACTCCTAATCTTATATATATGTGTGTGTGTGTGTCTGTGTGTGTGTGTATGTGTGTGTGTGTGCGTGAGATGAAAGTGTAAAAATTTTATGTACTCTATTTGAGTCACCATATGGGAATGATGGCTCCTCCAAAGAGAGAGGAAGATATAGTATTTTGTGCATAAGATGCAATTTCCTCTTAAAGATGAAAGCTTCCTATGAAGATAAATATTGTGATATGTGTTTCATGCTTTATCTCTCATATTTTATTTGTCAAATATTAATCGTAGCTTTTGCCACAACAGTAGTAAAATATATGGATAAATATAGAACAAGACAAATCATTGTTATTACAATTGGATTGGCAAGCGAACCTTTACTATGTTTGGCCCAATCAGAATTGTTGTCGAACTCATTAGATAAAAATTTGAAAATTTATAGAAAAATATTTAATAGTTTCAAATTATTAAATATATTACAAAAAAAATTGTCTAATTTAACCGATTAAATTCTACTGGTCAAACTGGCAAAAAGTAGTCAAATATTAATTTTAACCGATTTTTAACTAAATTTGATTTTTACATTGGATTACACCAACCAAAATGTCATTTGACAATGGGACCAGTCAATTCCGATCTTGATTACTTTGTGACAAACCATCTCCCTCTCCCTCTCTCTATAAAACAAAACAAGACAAACTCTCTCTCTCCCTCTCACTATCCCCCATAAAACAAGACCAACCATCTCTCTGTCACCCCCCCCTCACAACACACATGCATGACTCTTTCTCTCTCATTAATTGATGTTACGAGTCCCTTTTGGATTAAAAATTCAACGTGTTGTTTCTTCTCTTGCGCAGGTCGGTCAGCTAGCTGGGGTTGGAGACTTGATGTTGCCTTCACCTCCCTAACAACCAAACATGTTATTAGATGTTTATCTCCTCTCTGCATTTCAAAGTGTTCTTCACATTATACTTTATTCTTCTTTCTCTCTCTCTCTCTGGTATTTAGACTGGCAACTATGTACTCCTTCTATATCTGGGAATTAGACTCGACAGTATGTACTCTCTCTTGTGGTTAAATATTCATTTCATTCACTAAATCTAACTTAAACGTCCCATAATATGAGTATCCCTTACCAACAAATACATCATTTTTATCAATATGAGTTTGTCAAACCCAATGACTATTTTAAAGCCATAATTGTTCAAGATACATCATGAAACAAGGTTTCTTCGCATATCTGGTACGTAGTATACATTTTTTAAGGTGAGTACCTTGCATGAACTAAACTTTGGTTCTACCGTACCCTTTCAAAGCATATTTGTCATAGCTTGGGTTCCAAATTGAACCGAATTACTGTCACCCATTGGTTCAAAAGCCTTAAACATATATCGATTATTAGACACATGAATGATAGCATCAGTGTCGACCCATCATCCATTGTCTTTATTGATCATGTTTACTTCGGTGACCATTACTACACTTTTTTCTTCAGTCGTCAAGTTCACTTGGTCTTTAGGCTTTTTGAGCCCTTTCTGATTCGGAACTCTTTTGAAAAGTTTCTCAATTTTCCACATACATAACAAGTGACTTTATTTTAATTTTTGTTGGCTGCAGACTTTTGGTTCTTATAATTTTCATTATGGACATTGAGAAAGAAATACTTCTTGTTATATGGAGCACTTGATTTTTGCTCAGTAATGTTTGCCTTAGAGTGAAAATTAATTGAATTCATATTTCTTTTCAATAAGTATATTTTTTTCTTCAATCCGAAGAGATCTTTAAAGTTGAATCATATCAAGATCAATTTTATTGTGTTTCATCTTCTTTTGGTACTCTCTCCAAGATGTGGGTAGCATATCAATCATATAACCTACTATGAAATATTCGTCCAAATAAATACAACCACAATACTTAAGTTCATTGACTACAAGCTGTAACTCATATACTTGAGAGAGAATATGCTTATTTTCAATGAATTTAAAATCTATAAAGTTAGAGATCATAAATCTTTTTGTTACCAGACTCTTCCGTAAAATACTTGGTTTCAAGTAGTTTTCATAGCTCTCTTGTCATGCCAATGAAGGCATACATGTCATAGATCGGGTCAGCCAAGGCATTTAGTGTGACAACCCAACCTTTCTCTACCAGTTAGAAGGCAGCGCCGATTGTGTTGAAGGAAGAGGCCAACGTCAGTTGCGTTAAAAGGAAGAGGCCAGCACCGGTTGTGTTAAAGGAAGAGGCCAACACCGATTGTGTTGAAGGAAGAGGCCAGTACCGGTTGAAGTTGTAAGGCAACGCTGGTTGTGTTGAAGGAAGGGGCAGCACTGATTGTGTTGAAGGAAGATGCCAGTGCCAGTTGAAACTGTAAGGCAGCATCGGTTGAAGTTGTGGCCAGCGCCGGTTGAAGTTGAAAGACAGCGCTGGTTGAAATTGTCGTCAGGGCTGGCTGTGTCACTGACATGCATGAGTTTGAGGTGACACTTGTTTGATGTATGCTATTGTGGGTGCCACTTGTTTTGAGCCTCCTTAGTGACACTTGAGCAGCCACCCCAAACATGAGAGTATTTAAGCCTCTTCTCTCACCCTCACCCCTCATTCTTACCTCTCTCCCTCTCTAAGATACAAAGTGAAAGAAGTGACTTTGTGAGCAGCCATTGTTGGGTGGGTGAGAGCTGTGAGCAACGGTTGGAGGAGGCCCCATTGTTAACTAGGCAAGTGGATCCATTACCCTTGTATTAGAGTCATGGGAATGTATGGGACCTTAGGCACGTGAATGAGCGATAGAAGAGTATGTGATGTAGGAAACCTTACGCCTTTTTCAATGAAAATTTGGGATTTTTGTTCTAGGATAATGATGAATGTAAGAATGACATTGTGATTATTAGATTATGTAAGAAATGCATGTTATGTGTGTTCACATTGTGAAAGAATGGATGTTTTCATGCTCGTCATTATGAAATGATGGTTATGGGACGCATTATTGACACAGGTTAAATGAAACCATGAAATTCTAGGAATATGTGTGTTCTTAAATGAGGCTTCTGAATAGCCAAATGGGGTCCGATAGACCTCAAACCACCACCGTTGGAAAGATACATGAGCCTAGTAAAATGTTTGTTGTTTCCCACTGTTGAAATTCTTTAAAAAAATGAAGTTATAGTTCGAAATGAGAGGGTATGTCACTGTAGATTGTTTTCTTGGATTTTTCATTAATACCATTATGTTCATCGATTTTAACTAACCAAATGGCGTCCTTTTTGGCCAAACCATAGCCTTTTGAAAGATCCTTGAATGGGTTAAAAGTTACATGTAGAAAATATTTTGAAATTCTTGTTAGATTGAAAGTTACGCTTCATTTTATGAAGGTATGTCGCTGTGGACAGTTTTAGCAAAAACACATATTTAACGCCTACGATGTCATTGAATTTGACTAACCAAAAGGCATCCATTTTAGCCCAAACCCTGCCATTGGAACCGGTTATGAGTCATCTTTAATTCACATGTTGAGCAATTTTTGGGATTTCCTCTTGATTTTGAAACATGGGCGAAATTTCAAAGATATGTCACTATCTTCACTGTGCAGATGAAGTGTCTCTGATCTTGGGCTCTTTTGAAGGGGCAAATAAGGTCCAACTGCGCTCAAACCACCTCTATTTGAAAGACAGTTGTGTCTAACATAAAATTGATTTTGGAACTATCTTCAAATTCCAAATGAATTGAAAGCTATAGCCCTGTTTTGACTTGGATGTCACTGCCTGAATTTTTAGAAAGCATGACATCGACACTCTGATTCTGTTATATGGACTCTGATTTTGTTATATGGACTATGATTCTGTTATATGAGCTATGATTCTGTTATATGAACTACGATCTCTGATTCTGTTATATGAGCTCTAATTCTGTTATATGAACTCTGATTTTGTTATATGAACTCTGATTCTATTATATGAGCTCTAACTCTGTTATATGAACCCTGATTCTGTTATATGAGCTCTGACTCTGTTATATGAACTCTGATTTTGTTATATGAGCTCTGACTCTGTTTTATGAATTATGAATTCCGATATATGCATTTTGATTCTGGCC